GAGAAGGAAGGAGGAGGGAGGGAGGAGGAGGAGAGAGTGGAGAGGAGAGGAGGAACAAAGGAGGAGAGTTTGCATGAGGAGGGGGACGGGAGGAGGTGTAGTTGACCTCGAGACAGCAAGGACGTCTTTGTCTTGGCATGTTAAGATCACATTCGGGGCAACTTCAAGTCCCAGCATGTCCTTTATGGCAGTACGAGCAGCCAAGAGGCGATTGAGACTCATGTGAAGATCCTGCTTCTCCTGTAAACCACCGTCACCTCTTCCTCCTCCTCGTCTATCTCCTCCTCCTCCTCTCCCTCCCCCTCCTGGTCCTTGCCCTGGTTCTCGTCCTCCTCCCTGACCCTCTCTGCTCCACCTTTACCTCCTCCTCCCTCTTCCCTCCCTCCTCCTCCTCCTTGTCTGCGTCCTCTCTCTTTCCCTCTCCCCCTCCCTTTCTCCCTCTCCCTCTCCCTCTCTCCCTCTCCCTCTCCCGCTCTCGCTCCCTCTGACCAACTGATCACCTGAGGCATGAGAGCAACTCCGCGGTACGTCTCGAGCACTTCTTCAGCAGACGAGATATTGCTGGGGATGAGACAATGGCTGCTGCCGAAGTGCCAGTCCTCCCTCCACTTGAGGCTGATCACTCGTCTACGTAGGAGGGACATGTAGGACAGGAGATGGGAGCGCCTGCGATGTGGGGAGGATGTGAAATGGTGGAAATAGGAGCAACAAGATCGTTACCTTGTGTACAGAGCGACTTCGAACATGTAGCCGAGTTTGCGGATTCTTTCCAGCAGGTCCTGGGCGGGGAGTTTGATCAATGCTCCAAGGATGTTCATGTTGTTGTTTCACCTTCACTTGCGGGTTGAGAAGGTGTGTGTAGAGCTTACAAAGAGCGCTGAAATCAAGACCGTTGAGTTGAAAGGCGATGCTGAGATCGTTCCCGTCCTGCCCGTAGATGGTGGTGTGGTCGAGGTCGAGGAGGATACCGATGTAACCGCTGTGACTGCGGAGGGGACCAAGTACTCTTGTTGTGCGTGCGAGAGAATGATTCTGTGGAGAACACATGTGAGGATTGATGTGCTCGAGAGAAGTTCACATGTTGTTGGATGGGTGAGATTTTGGAAAGAAGGACGGGGAGGGAGGAGGGAGAAAGGAGGAGGGAGGAGGGAGGAGGGAGGAGGGAGGAGGGAGGAGGGAGGAGGGGAGGAGGATGTGGAGGGAACGGATGGTGTTGGTAAGCACAAGGGTAGAGTACCTTGCTGAGAGATTGTTTCCTACCATTCTCCGCCTCTTCATCAGTTTGCTCAGACTGCAATGCAAAACAACATTCACAAGTCAAGCACATGTTGCAACGTCGGATGACCTGCTCATATCGCGACTGATGGAGCAGAAAAGGATCTTTGTTCGCATCCTCTATCCAAACTTCACCATTGTCGGCATGATGCAATATGATCCCAACTGAGCTCAGAACTCTCTCTGGCGCTGCCGTTGCCGAATGATCTGTTCAACGTAAGTAACAACCAAGACAAAAAAGCTCGACAAGGCACCTTGAGATCTCAAGAATTGATTTCTGGTGTTGATGTCCTGCTTGTCAAATCTCTGCTGAAAATGCTCAACACGAGCCCACGATTCAAACTCTCTTCACCTTCACATCTCCGTGCTTGTGCTTGCTCCTCGACTCTTCAAGGATTTGCTCTCTCTCTCTGATCTTCTCGTTTTCTATCCTCCTCCTCACCTCTGTGAAGCTCGCCTGAGCCTCTGCGGGAGATGAAACGTGCAGAAGCGGAGCAGGTCGAAACCGCAAGGCATTCTGTACCTCCTCCTCGCCATCAGCAACAGCAGCCTGTATGCTCTTGGGACGGAGGGAGGTGTTGAGACTTTTGGCTTCAATGGCAGCGGTACGGCGGAAGAAGAAGAAACGTTTCTCAGTCTTCACGCTGTGACCAGGACCGCGTGGTGTTGTTGGCAGAGAGGAAGAGAGGTTGCATGTCTCCTCAAGGTCCGATCCCTGGTCGACAAGCTTGCTGGGTTCCATTGGTAGTTCTTGTGGAGCCCTCACGATCTCACTTGCTCCGAAGTTCACTTGTTGGAGGTGTGCAAGGTTGTCTGCAAGGTTTAGCCAAGAGAGTTCTGTCATGTTTGAAGGCAAGGCAGCACTGGAGTTTATGAGACTTTCCAACAACCTTGACTGAAGGAGGACTCGTTCGATGTCTCCTTGCACCCTGCTTGCTTCGCTCAGAACGTCTTCGTTCCTATCGGCAAGTTGCTGGACTGTTGTGTTCGATTCGAGCAACACGCGCTCAACTGCCGAACAAGCGGATGTAACATTAGCAACACTGACGCTTGAAACCTTGGAACTGTCCTCAACAAGCTTCTCCTTGACCTTGTTCTCAATCTCAAAACATGCTGATGTATTCTCCGCAGTTGAGATCGACACGTCAATAGAGACGTTTGCAGTCAAATTGCCTTGCTCCTCCACCAAACTCTCTCTTCCTCTAGGTCGGGCAAGCTCAGTCCCAACATCCTCGGGCTTGTTTGCTGCCTGCACAGATTTCATTCTCTCCGGCTTGATCAACGTCCTGACAACTTTCCCCAGGATCCTCTGCAGACTCTTGGAAGGGTCACGAGCAGGAGACATCGCTGCTGCTGCAGGAGGGGGAGCGAAAGAGCTAAAGTTGAGCGACTCCTTCTCTCCTCCCTCCCTTGCACTTTTCGGGGGACTTGTAGCTTTATCCTCTTTCCCCCTCCTCTGCTTCCCCTCCCCTCTCTCCCTCCTCCTCGCCTCTACCTCGTCCTCCTCTTCTCTCCTCCTCTCCGCCGCTGACCCCGCTGTGATCCTGCTCGTGTTCACCCTTCCCTCGCCCCCCTTGCCCCTTCCTTCCTGCTTACTCCTTGTCATCCTTGCCGTAGGTTGCAGTTCAAGCTTCCTCCTTGAGCCATCCCCCGCCTTCTCCCTGGGCTTCCCTCCCATCTCCTCCTCCCCCTTCTCCTCCTCCTCCAGCACCGTCGAGTTGATCCTGGGCCATTCGATCTGGTGGTACTCGCCGTGTCCCGTGAACTGAAGGCCCTTGGCGAGATGTTGCTGCTTCCTCCCTCCCTTGCGATCATGGCGAGCAGACTGCGAAGCTGACGACTCGCCCGAACTCCTCCTCTGCTCTGCTCTTGTGAACTGACCTCCACCAGGCGATGGGCATGGCAGGGTAGAGCTCACTTCGACCCTGACCTGCACTGCTGCCTCCCCCTCTTCCTCTCCCCCCTCCCCTCTCTGCTCTCCCTTGCTCTGCTCCTTGTCTCCTTGAGTAGGGACAGCTCTCTCCATCTCTGTGGGAGGCGATAGAGCCTTGACATGTTCTGAACGCTCTTCGTGGGATTTCTTCCCGTGAGAAAACTTGGGGTCGAGCAAACATGCCAGGTAGTAGAATCGATACTGTTCTTGACTGTTTTCTTCGGACTTTACAGCTCGATTGACTTTGTGCTGATCATTTGTTGTTGCTCTCCAGAACTTGTGCAAGTTGATCTTAGCATGATTGGACCAGCTTGCGTAGTCCGTGAGTGAGATTTTCTCCTTGAACGGATTGGAAGCTTTCTGTTTGCGGTGAGGAGAGGAAATCTGATTGACAGCAGGCAAAGTTTTGATCATGCTCTTGTCAGGCGAAACAGACGATCTCTTCGCATCTTGCTCGTTCGACTTCTCGTACTTTTGTTCCGCGGGATTCCAGTCAGATTCCGCTGTTCTCATTGGAACTTGATATGCCGATGATGCGGGCTTCTGGACGAGTTTGTCCTGTGCTCGCTCTTCTCCTTTTCCTTGCTCTTGAACATGTTGATCGATTGGGACCGGTCCTCCCCATGCATTCTCAACTCTCGGCAACAGATCACTTTCCTTCTTTCGGAATTGTTTCGGAATGTACTGCGACAGTCCTCCTTGCTGTCCACTATTGACTAGTGAATGACCGTCATCTGCCGTCTCCTCCCTTCTCCTCTCTCTGCTTTTCTCTCCCAATGAATCATGAGAAATCTGCTTCCGCAAATCTTCCAAGAGAGTTTCCTCCCGTTTCAACTCCGCCAACAGCGTCTGTGTTCTTTGCTTCGCCGCGAAGTACTGCGTGACGATCAAGGTTTCAGCATGGTTGTCATCCCTTGAAAGGCTCCTCTTGGCTCTTGTTGACAACTCAGAGTCGAAGCTGAACGTTGCTAACTCCGAGATGTCGTTCTCTGACTTGGCGATCTTGAGCTTGTACTTTATGATCCTCTTGCTGACTGGCATCTCAAACTCATCCATCCGAGCGATGCCTGCTTTCATCCTGCTGATCTTGGTCGACAGCTCGTCATGCAGCAAGTATCCTTCAGCTGCACACGCCATCAGCGCGATGAGAATGAGCCGTGCCAACATCGAGCGCAGACGTGAAGGAATTGAAGGGTCGTGCTACGGGTAGTTGTAACTCATGGTCCACCCAGAAACAAGATCAGAGCCTGAAAGATCTCCAACCATTGTCAGTCTCCTGCTACTTCCTCCATCCTTCATCGTCTGCGATCGGCCATTCGTGCCTGAGAACCGCTGAAAGTTTTCATGGTCTCCGCCCGGCTCGAGGATCTTGTATTTCCCAGCCCTTGGCTCTCTTCGACTTGGACATGCGGATCAGATGAACACTACCGATCTGTCATACATGATCATCAACAGATATACATCTCAGCACAATCTCTTCCTTGCATGCACATGCTCATGCTCGCAAACTCCAAAGGCGCAAATCCCGTTCAATCCTCTCCTCCATCGCCTCTCACAGCTAATGTCCATCAACCTATGGCAACAACTTCACCTGCTCCCACTTCCCACCTTCTCTTCTTTTCTCTTCTCTTCCTCTGGTCTCGTCCTTCCCTTCCTCCTCCTCCCCCCCCCTCCTCCATTTCTCTCGTTCCCGCCTCCCTACGTCGGACATCGGCCGCCGGCATAATCCGATGTCTTCATCCCCGCGCAACCCTTTGCTCATCCCCCTCGCACCCGGGCCCGGTCCGTCCCGGGGCCGGCCCGGCGGCGCGTGCCACACTGTGACAGTCACTGTGACGGCCGCCCGGCGGGCACGGCGGTGGCCAGCCACGGTGGCCAGCACTGCCAGGATGGCCAGTGCCGGGCAGTCGGCCCGTCGGGCCCCGGCCGGGCCCCGGCGTCCAGCCGGAGGCAGTGGCCCAGTGGGCCGGGCCCCGGCGGCCGCAGTGCCTGGCGGCCTGCCTGGCGGCCGGCGGCCACTTGAACTGAGTGGGCTGCCGGCCACACCGGCAGTGCCTGCGGCTGCGGGCCCCGCAGCGGCCGGCGCGGCGCCCGCCGGGCTGCCACGACGGTGGGGCCGGGGCCGGGGCTGGCGGCTGGGTACCGTGGCAGTGGCCGGGCCGGGCCCAGTCCGGACGGCTCCGACCGTGACGTAGTAGTGCCCGGGCCCGGTGACCTAGTCACGCCCGGCCGTCTCGGATCCGGGCGTGCCAGTCGCCACCGGTCCGGGCCGCAGGGCCCGGGCCCGGCGGCCCGCGGCCGCGGGCACGGCCGCCGCGGCACTCGGCCCGGACCGCGCCGTGCCAGTGACTCTCAAGTTGCCAAGTTGCGCCTGATCGGACTCAGTGGCAGTGAGCGCGGAGGGGGCCCGGGCCCGGCCTAGCCTAGTGACTGAGTCAGGGGCCTAGGGACCTCAGTTGCACTCAGTGCCGGCCCCTGAGTCGGACTGCATAGCGTTGCTTTTCCGGCCGGGCGCTCATAGGAAAAATTGGCAATATTTTTTTTTTTCGAAGGACCTGAGGGGTCCCTTCATTCCATGCCAATTGGGAGTACCCTCCTTTGAGAAGTCATGTGGGAGGGTAGTCGCTCTCATGAAAATCGTTGCTGTGCAGGGCCAAAGAGGGGTAGGGTGATTTGAATTTGGTGGCGTGGACACCTCACCACGCCAAACCAATGTAAAAGTACGCATTTTAGGAGTATCTGTGGTACCAACTTAAAATTGCAGCTCTTACATGGTACAAAATGAGGGCCAAACTGGTCGGAACTTCGACTTCCGAGAACCCCTCCATTTGACTGTTGTTGGGGGGTGGGGTAGGCATGGAGCACCCTCAACCACCCACCTTTGAAAGGATTTGAAACTGTGTAATAGGGGGTGGGGGGTAGCCCCCTTTTCTCATTCCCCAAGCCCCCTCTCCCTGGACGAGCAAGAGGCGATGAAATGGTGCCTTCCTGACTCGCGAGGATGAACCTTGATATTGAGAGACTTCGAATCCAACCCAACTGAGATAGGAATGAGATGAAGATCTCATATCACATCTGTAAGAGATGATCGAGCTTCTTTCTCAACTCTGCAGGTTGGGCCAAGGTTTGAATCATCCAGCGTGTAATGTAATATGTGCCCTTGGTTCATACAATCCGCGAGTGTACTTGCAAATATGCTTCGAAGACATGATGACATTTTTATGAACAGGTAAGGAACTAATAATGGATACACCATTGAACAGAATCAACTCTGATTGACCCTTCTTTCAAATTGCAGTGCGTTGCACGTTGCGCTCAAATGCATGATTTGTGAGAAATTTGTATTCAACTGTACCTTGAGCGACTTTTCTGTCTAACAATATGTTCTCATGTCATCGCTCACTTTCAATTCTTCTAGTCTTACGGTCAGGATTCATGCACTTCACTTTTCTACAGAGGACAGGCTCACACGCACTCAACCGTTCAACGGTGCATGAAGAGACGTTTGCAAAAAGGATGACTTCACCTGCTCGCATAGATTACTGTAGAGAATTGTTGTTGATCATGAATCACTATATCCATGATCAAGTGCATTGACCATTGCATTTCCATGTTTCATGACGTAGGATGATTTTTCTGCACTTGGATTTCTTCCTCAGTCATGATGTTTCCACAACGCTTCAGAAACCTAGTCAGAAATGAAACAATGTGCAGATAAATTTGAGCATCAATAAAAATAAATGAGATGTTCTTCGAATCAATCCTGCCTTGTTTTGACGGTTCGCAATGCTGCCGTGCAGTTGTAGAGTTCTTGTCGCATGTGGCACTACAGAGGAGTGCCTTGTTCAACAGAACAAGCACTCGGTGATTGTAAAAGGATCACAAACGCTGTGAATCAATAAATAGAATTCCACATCCAGGGTATCACATCTTTATTAGAAGAGTTTCAATCAGGGTAAAAGCACAACCGACCTCCTTGTAATCAAGAACACGTTCCATCTTTTGCCTTGCGAAGGTGTATCTATGTGAACCAAGAAGCATGTGACATGTGGCCACATCATACATGCTCTACGGCCTGGAATATTGGCATCTTCAAAAGTGCTCATGTTTGCGTTGAGATCATCTGCTTGGCAGCGGCTCATTGATGAACAAAATCCGATGCAAGTTCACACCAGTAATATTCACATGATGCATCATGTGATGAAATGACCTAGGCCTTGGTGATTTGCAAAATGTTTCATCGTTCAAACACGTCCTTGAAAATCAGATGAAGAATCCTTCACGAACCACGGGACTTGCTTGTCCGACATCATTCGACAGCACTGCGGATCATGGTTGTTCAAGCAGT